CATTTATAAAAGCAATTAAGTGAAAATAACATATTGTCCGCTATGTGCCATAAATTAAAGAAAACAGTAGGTTTTTGACGGTTTTTACCGGTAAAAACACGGTTTTTACCACTGTCATGTCAAACTGTCATGTCAAAAACCCAACCCTGGTAATAACTATAAGAAATTCTTACCTTTTTACTATTAGTTATTACCCATAATTATCCTTTGATAAAATGTAACTTCCACGTATCGATTATCAATACACAGCTTTGATTTTCAGTGCTGTGAAAAATTAGGTGAACATGTTTGAACTATTCCATCTTAGTATTTTTCCTGATTATGATTTTCATATCCTCAACAGTTATAAACAATGCTGCAATTTTTTACAACCCATTGAATGTTTCCTCTAACTGATGTGTGTTTAACAAATGACACATTTTTCTATGATATTATCCAAAAATTTGCTTGAAGTCCTGAGACTTCTGTATTGCTATTACAGTGTTTATGATTTTTTTCCCCCCAAATGTAGTTGCCAATAAGTATCATTCCTGTTCGCCATCTAAATTTGCAAGAGTACCAAAGTAAACAGCTGATGTATGATAATGGAATAACTGTCCAGAAGTTCAGGATTGCCTCCAGCATAAATGATGCAAAGGAAATATCAAAGACTTTCAGTATGTACAATTATAACAAAAACAAAATTTTTGTTTTGTTTAATAAAAATTGTTTTGAGAACTTCAGATTTCTTACTTTTTTAAAACTATGTTTGATTTGTTATGAGTTTGAGTTTAAGTAATAAATTTTATTATTGTGATGAATTTGTTGCTTCTAAATAAGTTGTCATAATTAAATTATAACTAAAAGTAGCATATTATATACCTTATTATTGTTTTAGTTATTATTTTTTAATTTCAGCAGCAAACTTTATAGGTTTTTTCTTTCTTAACTTGAATACAACAGAAAATAAAAAAAATTCTAAGATTTCAGAAATAAACAAATTACTCAAGGAAAGTAAGGAAAAACTGAAGATCATACTAAAAATAGATTAGAATTTTTTAATAGAAAAAATACTGTTTACCTATTTGAAATCTGACATCAAAATAGACTCTCCCTTCCCCTGTGCTCCTTTTTTGTTAACTTCATTTAAGCTGGTGAACCAAAGGTAGAAAGGAATAATTGTTTTTAATACCCAAATTTTTTTATTACTGCCTATTTCTATTCTTTAATAATATTTATTTGCCAAGTGAATAAAAAATTTTGTACATTTATTGGCATAAGATCATTTCTGAGTTAAAATTCTAGTTGAAAGTTTTTTATTGCTTGTGTTTCATTGATATTCATTATTATGGATATTGCTTTATTTTTCTGCACTGTATCAGTAATATGAGTCTTTGAAGAAATATTTAAATATGTACGAATCAAAATACCATAAAATTACACTCTTTATAATAAAAATTTAACACATACTGCTTATAATAAAAATATATGGATAATAAATTAATTAAGAAAATGTTATGAATATAAACAACTCAAAATTAGTGAATGTGGATGAGTTAAGCAATTTATTTATTCTATTAAAACTGAATCAATTATCTAAGAAAGAGGTATAGGAGAAAATATGTGAGCCTTGGCAAATGAGGTATTTTTTAAATTTCAAGATATTTAGTTATTGTCTCATTAATAACATATCTATAGATAAAATCCCACAATTTGATTGTGTCAGTTGCCTATCTACGGCATTTATATGAAAAATATAATGAACATAAATCATCTTTTTGAAAAAATTTAACCTATGAATATTTTTTTTTAGAAGTGAATGAATTTGTAATCAAGGCACAAATTCTGGCTGGTGGCAGAGGAAAAGGAGAATTTTCTAGTGGTCTTAAAGGTGGTGTCCAACTAACAAAAAAGTAAGTATCCAGAGTTCTAAAGATTTAAAAAGGGCGAAGTGATTCCTCTCTAAAAAGGACATTTAGAAAGGGCACTCACTTAACTCTGTAAAAATTTATCAAAATGTGTAATTTTATGTAATAACTGAATTTTATCCCCATAATGCTTTTTTATGGGGAATTTTCAAAAAATAATTCTCTCTCTTATCAAAATAAGAGAAAAATTTGTAGTTCATAAAAGTAATTAAAGGCTCACTAAAATATAATCTCTGTGCATATATATATATATATATGTATGTATGTATATATAATTAATAAATAAATACAAGAAAACAGGATAATTTTAAAATTGATCATAAATAGTAAAGAGAAACATAAATTGCCTGCTTTGCAAGTAATTTTAGCTGCGGATTTGCACCATATGGATTAGCACATAGAAAAATTATTTAAATATTTATTATTTTATATATTTATTTAAATATATAAAATTATTTTTTTTCTTTGATAATTCCCTAGCAGGAATGTTGGGAATTGGCGCAGATTTATCTAGCCATGTAAATATAAGAAAAAGACACATATTTTTGGTGCGCTTGATATTTAAACGGAGGTTCTGAAAGGGAGATTGTTGCAAGGATATTCTTATCTTAATGAAACGTCATCCAATTGATAAAATTTGGAGATTTTGATTCGCTGAAAAGATAGCACCACTCTGATGCTGGGAAGTTGTGGGGACTATCTTAATGCCTACTTTAGGGGTGCACAGCCTGCGGCCCTTCGACTACTAAAGTGCGGCTCGCGAGAGCTCCTAAACACAATAAAAAAATTTTAAAAAATTAAAATTTTTAATCGCACTTTTAAGTCATCACGTTTTGACACAAACAATTTTAACAGATTCTTTAGTAAATGTACGTTTAACGNCCATTTTGGCAAAAATATAAATTCTTATAGCTTTTAAACCCATTAACCGATTTAAATATAATTGATATTTTTGAAATCAGCACGAAAAACTCTGTAAGTGTACAAATTTTCATCAAAATCTGAGACGGTGGGTGCCATGGCTGGATGAACTGACATGGAATGACCCCTAAGTGATTTTTTATCGTTTTTTTGCAATTCTTTCTTTTTTTCGGCAGTTATTGCTATGCATTCCCACGTATTATAAAAAATTCCAATTATTCTATTATGACATGCAAATTTTAAATCATGCATTTGCCACGCTTTATTCGTGCTGAGTTCAGCATAAATATATGTTTCCCCACTTATTTCTATTCTTTTCCACATGATTTTGACTATCCCATTATTTAACTATGATGTTATTACGACACGTTATTGTTAATAGCGCAATTAAATAATCTTTTTTTGATACGGTATTTCGGACAGTTTCATCGTAAATCCTAGTTATTTTTCCTTCGTTTTTATTTCCGCAACGAATATGATTTGGTCGAATGTGGTAATGAATTGTGATTTGGTCAAAAACCAAATATTCGGCTAAAAAAAGAAGAAAAAATCGACTGAACGCAGTACAATTGGGGCCAAATAGCAAAATCTTTTACTGCTTCTGAACACTGAAACTAAAATTTTAATGCTCAGAATAATATTTCCTGGAAAAACGTATTCATAAATTAACTCTAAAAAGAACATTTTTGCCATTCAAGGCGAATCAAGAGCGTTTTTGAAAATGTCGAAAAGCGAAACTGAGAACATAAAAATCAATCTTAATTTTTGAAAAAAAATTTTAAAGCTGAACATCTCAGTTTTTCCATTACCAGAAAAAGCCAAGAAAAATGAATAAAATTGCTCACTGTTTGTAGTTTAGATTTACATTTTTTGTTGCTTAAGTGATATTTTTCGATAAAAAAAAAGGAAAATGTTTACGATATAAAAAATCTAATAATTAATAAAATAAAATAACAATATACATTACAAAATAGGCATTGAATTTTATTATGTTTTTATTTTTGAATGAATTCTAATAATGGAACACTACTAAGTTATTGATATTACTAAACTAAAAGACAGTAATTAACCTCAATTCCAATCAACAACAAATAAATCCACTTGGTTTTTTAAATTTCAATATTTTAATATGCCATTATGACATACTGCCAATTCCAAGTCATGTATTTTGGTTAGTAATCATTTCTCAATTGGTGATGATTCCACCGTGAATCCGCCTAGCTTTAAAGATAGTTTTTCAGTAAGCATTAAAATGGATTTTTACTTGGTTTTTAAAATTTCAATTTTTTAATACAATATTTTGTTTGGGAAACTTTGAATCCTGCATTTCAAATATTGACAATTCACCAGCATTTCCGCCTGGATTTACGATTGCATTTTTACAAATGTTTATAGTTTTTTTGTGCTTCATTATCATACACAGGAAATTTCGTATTTCGCAATCGTGGAATTACTTTTTGATGCACTCGATTTGTTTACTGTCCATCTGGTTTTTTTTTATTGCATTTTTCATAAGTTGGAACTCAAGCATAGTTTTTAAAATTTTGATTTCATTTTTAATATGATATTATTATGATTCGCAAGTTCTAAATCGTGCTTTGAAATAATGATTTTATAACGTGCTTTAGTCATCTTATTTCATCTCGAATTCGCAATTGTTCAAAATGTGACGTTTTTGTACTTTCTGAAATTGAGAACGTGATTCGTGGCGGTAATAAGCATTGTGTCCGAGAGGTGAAAAAAAAGTACACAATTATTTTTGCGCTGTAGTGAAATGTCGAATTTCTTTTTCTTGATATCCAAGTAGTTAAAAAACTCGATGATTTGAAAATAACTTTGATATACCATAAAATCTGCACAATGTTATGAATTAGATGTGTGATTTAAAACTCACGATTCGCAATATTGTAATAAATGTATTGGAATTTTCAAAACCATATGCGAATAAATAATAATAAATGACAAAATACAATCGAAACGTCACTTGGATGTATGATGAAATCTGCAAAATTATAGCGAGTCAAAATTTAAAATTCGCGTATTGTAATATTGTATTACAAATATTACGTCTTTTAAAACTATATGAAATTTCGTAGCAATTATCTGGCAAGCAACATAGAAAAAGCAACAACAACTAACTAAAGAAGCAACATAGATTTACAATAGAATTGAGCACATTAAAAAGTGATGATTCCAATGTGCGCTTAAAAATTTTTGACATAAGTTTTTTTTCCAAAAAAAAAAGCTCTTGCAGGTCGTAGGTTGTGCCCCCTTCATTTAATAAATATTGCTTAAATAATGATTATTTTTTTTCTAAATGCAGGGATGAGATTTTTCCGCTTTTTAGCGGATTTCCGCTTTTTTCCCTTTTATCTCTTGAATTTCAGCTTTTTTTTAATCAAAAATTCAGATTTTTCTAAAAATGTAACTAAGTATTCCGCTTTTTTAGAAAATTCACCGATTTTCTAAGAGAAACAGAAAATTCAAACTACATAGCTACCAATCCTTTCTCATTTTTACTTATTTTAGCTATTTTCTCCCCTTTTACTCGCAGCACATAAGATTTTCCGAATTTTTTACCCGCCCTCCAGATAGATCAGATTTTTGTAGTTCAAACGACGCTGCTTCTGACAAGCCTTTTAGAGATCCCAAGCCTGGGATCTGCTAATATCTCGATTCTTATTCACACAATTTTAATATCAAACATAGCTTTTCATATTTGCGTGTTACGATTCTTATTCACGCGATTTGAATATTGTACGTTGCGATTCTTATTTACGAGATATAAAAATCCGATATTGTGATTCGTATTAACGCCTTTTTAAAAACCTATGTAGCGATTCGTATTCACGCAAGTTTAAAATTCAATGTCTTGATTTGCTCATGCGGTATATAATATCAAACATTGATTTTCGTATTTATACGTGATTTTAAAATAAGGCATTGGGATTCACATTCACGCATTCTGAAAATTATGCATCATAATTCATATTTATGCAATCTAAAAATTACTCATCATGATTCGTATTTATGCGATCTAAAAATTATGAATCGTGATTTGTGTTTTTGTATTTGTTTTAAAAATTCTATGTCCCAGTTTGTATTTTCTCATTTTCAAAATCGTATATCTAGTTTCATATTCATGTGATTTCAAGATCCATAATTGTTATTCATATTCACGCAATTTTAAGATCAACTATCTCGATTCTTGTAACAAGTAAATTTTTTTTAAAAATTAGTTACTATAAAGGTGGCTGTTTTTCTAACGACGATTATTAGTATATGTAAGTGTTACAACATCAGAGGAACTGGAAGGGAATATATTCAATACTTATATTCTGTGCTTGCAAAGAAGAAAATATAGGATTTGTCACAAGATGTTTGAAGATGGACTAACGACTAAATATAGCAAACAAAAGCAATCACTTAAAAAGGGATTTAATTAAAAAAAAAATTTTGGAGTTAATTAACTCATTATAATGATTCGGTCCATTGTTAAAGTTTTTTTTTCTCCAATATAATTTAAAAAGTAATTACTGATATATTTGCTATAAATCCCATAACAGTATTTATTAAAAGAAATGAAATATTAATTTATATTCTCAGTAGTTTTAATTTGCTAAACCAGGCAGTTTTTCAAGTAATAATTGTCTCTTATGTGAACTGAGGAAAAATATAATTTCGAGCTTTATTTTTTCAATTGGTAATTTTTATTTTCACTAAATGTTAAGTATCAATGTAATCATTTATATAATAATAGATTAGTACACAATTGTATGTCAACACATTATTTATTACCTTAAACCAGGTATGGGCAAACTTTTTTGGTCGAGGGCAAAAAAACGAATAAAAAAAGTTTGGTGGGCCAAGTAAAAACTTCTAAGATAGAAAAACGATATGCAAGTTTTAATATAAATATTTAATGAGATGAATGAAATTGCGATTTCATTTTTAAAAGAAGTTTATATTGAGGTACCAAGTGAGATGTACTTATTTTAATGCTCAAAGCTAAATGTTTGTCTGTTAGTCTAGTTTTGAAATGATTTTTTCTAAGGTTTATAGTTGAAAACACTTGTTCACATATATAAGATGAAGCAAACATAGCACTGATTTTCTGGGCATGAATATTAAATTTGGGAAATTCTTTTGGTAATGATTTGTAAAACTCTATGTCATATTTGGAAACAATTGCTTCAGATGGCGCCAATCTACGGCTATTCTATAAAGAACTTTTGCTTTCAACATTTTACCAATTGAAGCTACATATTTCCATCAATTTATGTTTTGTAGAACAAAAATAGAGAAAGTAAAAAGATCATCAATACTTTGTTAAAAAAGAAGGAACAAAAATAGCTTTAAACAAAGTAGACAAGAAAATGGATGTATATTGTTTATATTCGTCGCAGATCGGCGAGTTAAAATTCTATCCACGGGCCGGATAAAACCTAACGGCGGGCCGTAGTTTGCCCATCCCTGCCTTAAACTGTCTGGAATTTATTATTAAATGATTGCGCTTGCTTAAAATTTACTATCGTGGAAATTCAGCTTTTTTGCCTTTTGGCTAATCTCATCCCTGTAAATGGAACATGAATAAAAAGGCAGTGTTTTTAAGGAATGGCCACTTATTTTTACAAAATGGGCGTATTTATTGAGATCAAAAGGCAAGGAGGGTGAACCGCCGTTCAAAAAACGCTTAGGGCGCTGTGTATCTATTGTTTATTTTATATCTTTTTCTCTTATATGAATTCTTGAGGCTTTTTTTTATTAAAAAAAAAAACTAATCTACATTACTGTATCTAGAAAAAAAAATGATTGCGCTGTTATCTAAAGCATATCTATTTTACTTGTAGCCCAGAAGATGTTCCGGCATTTGTCGAGAAGATGTTAGGGCATAAGCTTGTCACTAAACAAACTCCAAAATCTGGTGTAACTGTAAACAAGGTAAAATATCAATAGACATATGCTCTTGTTTTGAAGCTTATTTTTGAGATAATGTTTCATATTTGTATGCATGGAAATATTATATAATTAAAAAAATGGCTGTGCAATTCAAATCAACTGTTAAACTGGCATATACTAAAGATTAGGTAGATGGTATTTTAAAATGTTACTCACTGAAATTGGATTATTTCATGAATGACCTCATTCAAAAATGTTAGATGTTTCTGTTGTGGGAAGTGATGAACATGTGATAACAATATTTTAATTATATGAAACACTTATTTACATAGATAAATAGTAATCTTGCCAACGACCCAATTGAATTAGAATTTTTTTAAATTCTTTTTATAAATTATGGTTGTGAGAAGAAGGAAATAGAATATGATTTCAAATTTAAGTTTAAACTATTCATAGAAGTAATTTTCACATGTGTAATGAAATGTTGAAAAAAAATTAGCAAAAAGTTATGCAGAAATTAAGGATTAAAAGTGAAGAGTTTGTTATAAACAAACATTTCTATATTTTAGTTTTTATGATGCTTAATAATACATATTTTATCAAGGGTGATTGACCAGAAATATATTGCTTATTTATTTACCTAAACTTTGTTATTATCCTTTCCTTTACTAACCTTATTCTTTGGTTTTTATGCTTTCTATGAGTTTGGACTTGTGTCAATGTGTGAATAGGATAATTCTAATAAATATTTGTTTTTAGTAGCATTGAAATGTATGTGAATCTAATCTTAATGTATATAACTTGAATGAAATATTTATAAATCAAAGTTTGCGAATGGATATGTTGCATATATTTAGAGCTTGATTTTAAAAAGAGCATATACAAAGCTAAATTAAGGCATGTTAGTTAGTACTCAAGTGAGGGAAGCAATCTCGAATTTCGAAACTAGCGAGTGCAATGGTCTCCCTCAGTCATGAGATATTATTCTATAAAACTGCCGGTTGAAATGCCACTTTTTTAATGTATTATGGGGATTCTCCTAAAACAATATTCTTCATCAATTACATCTTTTCACTCTTCTTGTATCTGAAATTTTAACTTTTCAAATAATGGGTTTGTTGAAGTCAGCTTATTTTTCTAATAGTACGAATATTATAAAGTTTGAGTTAAAGTTTTTTCAGATTTTCTAATGTGTAATGAAAGTCTCGTACGCCAAAATGTCTCAGTCCAAAAAAAAAAATTTCTCCGGGGATATAAGGTTTCAAAAAATTTGTGTTTTAATTTTAAAAAAATAATAACAATGATTTAAGTCTATTTTCATGTAATAATGTATTCTTATTATCAAATTGGGGTTCTTCACGACTGGTCCTTAACATACTTGTTGAATGACATCTAATCAACTAATGGAGTATAGTGAAGTAAATGTTGATAAAAAATAAAGACTTGATTAAAATCAGCTGATGCTATTTTGTTTGATACAAGAAACTTTTTAGCGAATATATTTCCAATTTAAACTAAAATTATGTTTGTCTACGGATGTTTCTATGAAACATTATTTGCTCGTAATCATTACATCATCATTAGCAAATTATTAGCTCATAAACATTATGTGTGTTCATCATGGGTGCAAGTCTTCCGTCCTTCGAAAATGTCCGCGGGCGGAAGTAAGACGGAAACAAGACTGACTCAGAGACGGAAATCAGAATTTTTTTTTCTGTCCTTAAAAATATTTTTTAGGTCTACGTTATTGGTCTACTTTCTTATGTCCTGTTGTTATTTTATCAAAAGACAGATGAATAAATATTTTTTGTACAGTATTTAAACTTGATGTATTATGGTAAAGCTTTCTTAGATAGTTTGCATATGTCGAGGGGGTATTGTGTACATTAGGTATTTCAGTCAAAAAATTTTCAGTCTTGGCCTTTTTTCCAACTTGCACCCATGGTGTTCATTAAAGCAGTATAAATGTTAAGCTTTCCTATGCAGAGCTGGTGAAAAAAGAAATTTTTTTTTTAATTCTCTTGCCTATAATGTCACTGTACTATATATATGTAAAAAAAGGATTTTTTTTTTTTTTTTGAGAAATGGAAAAGATGTGTTGATTGTTGAAAAGTGTCCCATAAATAAACACATCCACATATCCGTCCCCAGAACATAAGGCATTTATCTAACTCTGTAAAAGGCTTCTGTGTTCTTCTTTGTTGTTCATTTGCTACAACCTTTGCTCAATCACTTTTTTTTCAACTGACTTAAAATGCTAGTGTACTACACATATGTTTGAAATTATTTTAGAAATAAAGTAGGTTTTGCCACGATTGCGATTACAGATGGGCAAAATACCAAGCACTTAAATGTCCAAGATGTTAGTTTTGTATATAACCTTATTTTTTCTAGAAAAAGTACCCCATCCTAATGAAAACAAAAGTTTACTACAGTCAAGATTGAAAAGAAAGTGAAAAGCTTCAGAATAAAAGTAGTTTTTAATTTTAATTCTTACTTAATTAGTTTTTTTTCCAACTATTTAATACTAAAATTCCCAATTTTCTATATTATCATATTTATAGCTTAACCATTTAAATGCTAAATCAAGAAAAGGGAAACCGAATAACTTGAAATTTTTTAAATTCACTATTAAAGAGTCTAAAGACAAGAAAATAAAATTGTTTAGAGTGCAGTTTTAACTTTGTTCCATTTTTGAAACATTGGCGTTTAGCAGGAGCGTTTTTTACTGAAGGTGGTTACGATTGCATCAGCTGTGTTCCAGTACATAACTTCGGTCAGAATAACAAAATGGTAACCACTTAGAAGGCCATGGAAATATCATTTTTGAAAATCTCTACATAATTTTAAAATTTTTTAAAGCATAAAATGATTATATATTGGCAAGATATTCTATGTACTCTCTAGGAACAGTTTTTAAAATATGCCGAAAAGTGCACAATTAGTGAGTTTTTTTTTCCCCTTTTTCGATTTTTTTTTGTATAATTGGTGAATAATAAGTTATTTATTCACTTTTTCCTTTTTTTATTTGTACTTAATTCTTGGATTTAATTTTCCACTTCTCCAATATTACTTTTGGAAACAATATTCTAGAGAAATAGAACAGAATAACAGGCTCCAAGTTATTTTTATTGATGTTATCCCTATCAATTAAAGCTTTTTGTTCACCAGATTTTAGCTGACAAATATCTAAAACTTCCAAATCTGAATAAGAAAATGTTTCTAACAAGGCGATTGTTTGTTGTGTATCATTATGCACCTCTTAGACATGGTGCTAAGAGCACACAAAATTTTTAAATATATAGACTATTAAAACTATTCTTTAACTCTCTCAGTTACAAAAAATTTATCTCAGAAGAAAAGCTATTATAAGCAAAAATCTGCCATTGTTGGGAACATTGAAAACCCCTCTTAAGTTAAACTCTATCATTGTCAAATAATACAGAATATAGCAACTCTCTGAAAGAAAATTACTTTTCTGTAGTTAGAATTTCAACAAAAGAGAAAAATACTTAATTTTTGTTACTTTCTAAGTCTTTTGTCTCTATCATTTTGTTACCAGCCACCAACAAATTCATGTCAAAAGAAGTTGAACATTATGCCATCAATTATTTATATTGGATAAATGTCATTATGCCAATTGAATGAAATGAACACAGCATTACACAATAAACCACTTGAATCCTAAAAATAGAACACTTAAAATGCCAATTTTCCAAAAATGGACCATTTAGTTTTAAACAAATGTTTTGATTTTAAAATTTTAAATTTGATGCCTAACAAAGGCTTATACTATTCCTTTAAAAACTCGGAAATTATATTATTTATATGTATATATACAGTAAAACCTCATTAAGTCGTCGTTTTCCTATGGTCCCGACTAAGCCTCATAGACAATAATGTAAAATAACCCTCTTTTACCTGTCATCGAATTTAATTCTATTCCGGATAACTCGTCACCCCAAAAAATGGCAAACCAGCTTTTTTCGCTCTTTTGTATACCATTCTGTTATCTTTTCAGGCCCACCCCTTTCACTTTAAGTATCTCGGGGGAATTTCTGACCACCCAGGAAGTTCACTTTACAGCTTTTAGCATTCCTTTCCTTTTAGGGGATTTGGATTCTGGGAATTTTGCATGCCAATCGTTCAAAGTTCTCACTTCTTGCTCCGACTCAGTCGAGTGTAGACATTTTTCTTTATTGTACGCACTTCAGTGGGACTTCATTTCATAGCGAGTAAGCCCTGCTATAAGGGCCATTTTTTTTCCTTACAAAATTGTGATTTGATTACGTTTCCGGGAAAGAAAAAAAACTTACCTTGTTATCTCTTAAAGAAAAAAAGAACTTAATTGGACTTTTTGAAGAGTCAAATGTTTCGAAAACAGCTTTTGCCAAAGAACACAATATTCCGAGAACTACTTTATGTGAAATTCTATCATCAAACCGAGCCATTGAAGAAGCAGACTGCAAAGACAATAGAAAGAGAACGAGGAAATCAAAGTTTGACAAGATTGAGGAGCTTTTAGTTCGATGGTTAAAGCATGCAAAATCGCAAAATGTGCCTATTCCTTCAGTCATTCTTAAAGAAAAAGCGATGGAAATTGCTAAGGAATTGAACATAGAAGATTTCCATTGCAGCAATGGTTGGCTGGAGCGTTTCAAAGACAGAAATTGTCTTTCTTTTAAAACGCTTTGTGGGGGAGCGGCAGCTGTTGATGGTGATGCTATAGAAAATTAGAGGAATAGTGTTCTCAAGGACATTTTATCCAGGTTTGATGCCTCGAATGTTTTTAATCTAGATGAAACGGGAAATATGAATGGAAATGAAAAGCTTAAACCACTAGTGATAGGCAAGAGCAAAAGGCCACGCTGTTTTAAAAACGTTAAATCTCTGCCAGTTGAATGTGAAACAAATTCAAATGCATGGATGACTACAACGATTTGGGAACGGCGTATCTGTAAATTGGATTCCCAGTTTTCTTGCCAAAAGAGAAGATTTGCCCTTATTGTCGATAATTGCACAGCCCATGGTCAGTCCGAAAGCTTAAAAGCTATTGAAATCATTTTCCTTCCTCCAAATGTTACTGCACTTCTTCAGCCATTAGATCAAGGGATAATTCGGGACTTCAAAAGAAAGTACAAAAAAATGCTAGTAAAGGACCTGATAAAAGCGTTAAATAAAAATTAAAAGTTTGAAGTTTGTGTTTTAGACGCGATCAATTATGTGCATAGAAGTTGGAGCTCAGTTTCATTGCAAACTGTTTTTAATTGCTTCAGACACGCGGGATTTGCAGCCAATGCAGAATATGAAAATATCTTCGATGAAGAAGTCGACCCCGAGCCCTTAGAAAATTTGCTGCAACTTGTTAATGAAAAAGGTTGCAGTGTAAATGACGTAAATGCATTAGTCGATATTGACAATGACATCGCTATTTGTTCGCAAACGACTGTAAAAGATTTAACTTCAGAATTTTTAGATGAAAAACAACACAGTTCCAGCGAGGATAGGGATGATGAGAATTCAGGTAGAATTCCGCCTAGCAAGACTGAAACATTAGAAGCCTTAGAGAAAGTTAGACAATATTTAACATCAATTGAAGTCACAACAGAGGAAGAATTCAAGGCTCTGATGATATTGGAAAAGAAGGTTAATAGCAATCAACAATTCCTGCATCAATCCACTATGTTAAGCTATTTTAACACTCAGAAATAAAAGAAAAAGTTGTAACTATACAAAAGTATTTGTATTCCTTTTCTATACATTTATTTGCATGTGTATTACATTCTAAAAATCTAATTTTTCTCAACGAATCCTACTGCAGTTCATTAAAAATCGTCAATGTTTTCTTAAAGAAATTTCTAACTCCGCTTAAGTCGTCGAAAATGTTCGGTCCCTTGAGTGACGATTTAACGAGGTTTTACTGTATATATATATAAAATTCTAAAATAATATAATATATATAATATAATTTCTAAAATTCATAAAGAAAATCAAATAACAATGGAAATAGAACGGAGTTAATTGCTAAAAATACTTCATAATGCAAATCTTAACCATATAAAAATAATAATATTCTAATTTTAATTGTTCATTAAATTCCAACTTTAAGATCCAAGTTTCATTTTAGATCATAAGACATATAAAGGTTTCATAAAAATTTCAAAAGAAGTGTTTTATTAGAACTGATGCTTATGAGAAAAAACTGTAATTGTCTTTAAAAACATTAAAAATAAATAATCAACTATGTAATAGCTGCATAAAATAACACTGAAAATACAAAGAGGTTGAAAAAATGTATTCAATTTCTTAATTTAATAGTTTTAATGAAATAATTATTTCAAAAACATTAATAAAAGCTATATAACATTCATATACATAAAGAAAGAAACAGAAATTGCAAAGTAGTTGAGAAACTGAAAGAAAAAATATTGTTTCTAATTTATTATTCTTATGTTAATAATTGCTGTTTTTAATTCTTTTGTGTCAAAAAATCTCAATTTTCATAATACTGTTTTTTTGAGTGAAGGGGATAAAAAGAGCCATTTCAGAAATGCTAAAAAAAATCTTAAGTTTATATCAGAATCACTCTTATAGAAAAACAATAATAGATAAAAGGGGGGGGAAGGAATAAAAAACTGAATAATAGAACCCATGAATATTTCTAATCTCGTTTTTAAAGTTATTCTTATGAAGTATGTGATTGTACAACAATGAGTTTATTGTAAAGGCGCAGATTAATATCTTTAATATGTGTAAATCAAAAAATATTAAGCACAATTATTATAATCTTGCCTTTTTTATTTTAAGGAAATCAAAATTCATATCTCCATCCTATTTCTAATGCATGTACAAACAATTAATATGAAAAGCATTTTTTTACGTAAACATTTTCCTCGATAGACTTTTGATATCTTAAGAATAAAATTTAAAAAATTCTGATTTCAGGTAATGATTGGAGAGGCTGTTGATATTGCAAGAGAAACCTATTTGGCAATTCTGATGGATCGTGAGAGTGGTGGCCCTGTCATTGTGGCCAGTCCTGCAGGTGGGATGGACATTGAGGATGTGGCCCACAAAACACCTCATCTCATTTATAAGGTTTGTTCAGTTTAAATATATTCAATGTCTTCACTCCCACAATGTTTGTTCATTTTTTTTTGTATAATATTTCATGCATATTTTTTGGATGCTACTGAAATTATCTTTATAATGAAGTTTTTTTTAAAGAAAATTATTCAGTCGGATATTAAAATCTGGATGCATGTAAATTTTTTCAAAAGCGATGGAAATTTAATGAAGTCCTTAAATTTGTAGTCATTGTATGATTGTGATTCAAGGGTTTGTTTTAATACTGTATTTTTGGGTGTATGAGTCAACTTTTTGAACCTGCAAATTAAGTACAATGAACTTTGTGGGGGCATATACTTGTACCTCAGTTCTCTTCCCCCCCCCCTCATTCAAACTTTCATATTTATTATAAAAAATGTATCTTATCTATAAAATGAGTACAATTAGAGCATTAATAATCATTTTTAAAAAAAATCATATAATGTGTATTTAGAAAAAGTCTTCAATAAAAAAGGTAACAATATGCAAAAAAAGAAAAAGTACAAGAATAGAAGCACAGCTATGTTTTTAATTTAAACTCTTCAAACAGATCAAGAATTTATCATAATCAGAACATCTTTAATAGACAGTGAAATAGCAAAAATGAACTCAGGGTGTTTGATATTATTTTAGGTATACATTTTGCCTTATAATAAAAAGTGGAGCTAAAACATCTTCAACAGATTTCTTTAAATTAAGTTTTTATCTTTGAAAAGTTGAATTTTATATTTGGTTAGTAATGTATTTTTTTTTTTTTTTTTGGTGAGTTCTGGTGTTGGTTGAATCATTGAAAACCTAGAATTAATTATGATGGGTTTAAAAATAGGGATTCAGCTTATAAACCCAATTGACGTATACACCCAAAAATATTTAAGTTTTTATTGCTTTTGACACAGTTATTTGGTACTATCAATTAATCTTACTCAGCCAAACGTGAATTTAATTTATAATTTAGAGAGAAACTTTTTTAATTGTTGGTGTAATTTTTTTCTGTATCTGTAGGAACCCATTGACATCGTGAAAGGAATTACTGATGAGCAAGCTAAAAGCATTGCTCAGAAATTGAATTTTGAAGATGAATTACTTCAACAGGTATATTTAAATTGTTCGATCAATCAGATGTAAAATCACTTAAACTTTAATTGTCTTAGGTTTGAAATCTTCTTGATGTCATTTCATTATTATTTTTATTAAATATTTTTTTTCCTGCTTTCTAGAATACTTTCTAAAATGTTCGACTGAGAAATTCTTTAGACTTCAAATATTTTTTTTAAACAATCACAATGCCAATTATAAACAATTTATTTCCCTAAAATATTGGAAATTATATTTTAGGGGAATATTTCTCAATATTTTGAATTATGTTTTCAGTTATTTGTAATAAAAGAATTATGGTAACATTTTTAGTTTGACCAATGACAATCTTTCAATAATTTTTTTTTTTTTAAACCTCTGTCAATAGTGTTGTGGAACATCAATAACTTGAAACAGTATAGAAAATAAAAATAAAGAAAAAATCTTTGAATGTTCAACTATAAAAAAATTGAATTATTCATTTATTTATTTTTTACTAGATTGTGCAAATTATTATAAAAGCAAATATCAGACATTTTCTTTACGGGAAAAAATTATTTTGCAGAATACTGATTTTATTAACATGTTTAAAATGTGTATATATATTTTTTTTTTAATTCTAACTTCTAACAATTAAATAAAAAAGTTACTTATGGTGAAAAATATTGAAAGAACTTTTAAATTTTTTTTTTATTTTGTTACGCTTTTTTGATTCACTAAAACCTTTAATAATATTTCATCTTTTTACAAAAATTACTTATAAAGTTTGTGATGGCAAAGCGAATACTAAGATAATTTTACGATTAAGTTTCTGTTGAAAATTATTGTTATTTTTTTAGTGTGTTCTTAGGTAGTGGCTATTTTAATTTCACAAAGATATTTTAATTATTTGATTTTTAGAAAAGTGTACTTATAACTGGAAATTTAAGATAAATGAAGAGTTAACAAAAATCAAATTGTATATGATCCGGTCATAGAAGATTAGCTGTGTTTGCATAAGTGCGATTGCAACTTTTTTCAAGATTAAATAGACGTTAAATTTAAAAAAAAGGTAAAATACTGATTTAAAGCGTTCATTAAAGCTTTGAAAAGCTATTGTCATTTGATAAATTTGTTCTTACATTTGACTAAACTCAGCAGCAAATAACTTGTGATTTTAGAAAAAAAGAGGGAGAGAGAGCGATTATATTTATATTATCATTAATCAATCTACGATTCGCAATAAAAACTTTATAATTTTCTAAAGTAATGTAGTAGTTATCATTTTTTTAAAATCCAAATTCCTATTTGTTTGTTAATTTCTATGATTTTTAGGGTTTGGTTTTTTATATCCAAAATTCTTTTTTGAAGTGTCAACCATCAAAACATGATTAGAATATTAAATGCCGAGGATAATAGTCACTAAACCAAAATGCACGCACAGTGACCACAAAAAAAATGCAAGATTATGTCTGCTGAGGGCCAGAATTAACTTCATATAAATGAGAAACTAAAACACTTAGGATTTATTTCTTCATATTTTTATTTGTATATTGTTTTAAAGAACATTTTTTTAGTAATGGTCGTTATTTTGCCTCTGGAATATTTTCTTGAAATTAGGATATCTACCCTACTGGATTAGTCAAAGAAATTTTTTATTTTTCTTTAGAAAGTCTCAGGGCTAGGCGTGAGTCACTTTTCTCACTTAATGTCACTATCTTAAAAAATAGTAACTTTTATTCACGTTTTTAAGGCTTAGTTACTTATCTCACTTTTTTTTAAATTTTAATTTCACAATTCGTAAATCAAAAAATATTAANCCCCTCCCCTCCCCTATTTCAATCAAAAGAAAGATTTCACATTTCCCTAAACCCGTGATATTACAATCCTCTTGCTCTAGTAAAGAAGGACAAGGGTGGGGCATAGAAGAGGATTGAATAACTGAAGAAAGATAGACAATTTCTACTTTCAAATGATATGCAAGAGAGCCATTCACTGTATCGAGGAATGAAAGTTTTGTTTTCTTATCTGCTGTGGAGCTGCAGAACGTGAAATTTTGCGTATTTCTCCTTGAATTGAGTTTTCTTTTCCTGTAGGGTTCATATGTACCTTTAATGTGCTTCATAGAGCATAATTTTGCATCATAGAAATTACACACTTTTAAGTTCCAGGGATGAGATTTTTCCACTTTGTAGCGGATATTCTCCTTTTTCGCTTTTTTTATCTCAAACTTCAGCCTTTTTATCAAAAACTCGGATTTTCTAAAAGTTGTTTTTTTTTTTTAATAAATATTCCACTTTTTCTGAAAATTTAGCAGTTGAAATAAAATAATTATATTTATTTCCGATTTGATGTATAGATATAATATATCGAAAGATATCTAGAAAATTCATACTACGTAGCTGCCAACCCTTTCGCATATCTACTTATTTTAGCTTTTACGAGCAGAAAATAAAGATTTTTCTCATTTTTACCCATCTGCTAGATAGCTCGTATTTTCGTAATCCAGACGTTGCTGCATTTTAATATCAATTATCGATTTTCGTATTTACCTGATTTAAAAGTTTCGCATTGCGATTCTTATTCACGCGATTTCAATATCGTTCATTGCGATTCTTATTTACGAGATTTAAAAATCCAATATGGCGATTTGTATTGAGGCATTTTTAAAATTCTGTGCAACGATTCGTATTCACACGAGTTTATCCAATGTCATGATTCGTTTTTGGGGTTGTAATATCCAACATCTATTTTTGTCTTTAGACTATGGATTCGTATTCACAACATTTAGAAATTATTCATTGTAATTCGTATTTACGTGATCTGAAAATTACACATCATGATTTGTATTTTCACATTTTCTAAATCCAATATCGAGTTTCATTCACATGATTTCAATATCGTGATTTATATTCACACGATTTTAAAATCCAAGATCCTTTAGCGCGATTCTTGTAGAAAGTAAGTTTTCTTCTTGAATTAGTTACTATAAATGTGGCAGTTTTTCTATCGACGATTATTGCTATACATAGGCATTACAACATCAGCGAAACTGGGTGAGAATATGTTACTGATATGTGTGCTATAAATCATTTAAGATTTACTCTCGTGAAAATTCAGCTTTTTTGCCTTTTGGCCAATTTCATCCCTGAAGTTCTTATTTTACATTAAAAGTGATTAAAAGGTTTTCTTCAAAAGTAAAAACGTAAATAAAATGTTTATTTTTATTACCCATTGGCAAAATGGGTGTTGTTTTGGGTTTGATGTCGTGCACACCTTATTTGGACGTTATCATATTCTTCAACTGTGTTCAAGAGTACTAGTAAACAGTGTGCATGCGTCGTAACTGCATGCCTTGCAATAGCGACTGCTACTCTTTGGTGTTTTTTTTTTTAATTCTTATGTCAGTTGTTATTAAGAATTTTTTCACTCCTTTCTATGAGTGAATGTAGTTCTTCCTATGTAGTTTTTCGAATTGTGTAGTTTTTTATACAATGTTGTGACACACAAATTTTAAATTGTGGAATTTCAAATTGATTCACCATAAATTTACTTGGTTTTATAATCGTTTTATCAGTCAAGTGATTGACAAAGGTCCACTAATTTTTTTTCCTCCCATGGTTTTTTAAATCTCCATATTNACTCACGAACTTTAAATTGGAAAATTTCAAATTTATTCACCGTAAATTTACATGATTTTATAATCGTTTTATCAGTCAAATGATTGACAAAGGTCCACTAGTTTTTTTTCCTCCCATGGTTTTTTAAATCTCCATATTTTAATTAATATGATATTTATTATCTGGCATGTATTTTAGTAACAGCTATTCGTTAATTATTTATTCCAAAATCGTTCTCGGACATATTTGATTTCCTCGTGATTTCTTATAGTTTTATTTCCAGTGTTTACCTTCACTCTGGCGAATTTTTATAATTTTTTCAGCCCTTTCCTTGTGGTTTTTTAATACGATGTTATTACTTGCCTTTTTTACCTTAAAGTTAACTTTTTTTACACACTCGATTACATTGTAAATTAATGTTTTCTGACAGTTTTTGCATTCATTTAACTTCATATTAATACAGTATTATATTTTTGATTATTGCGATGTTTTAACAACAATTTATTAATGATTTATTCAAAAATCACTTTTAACGGTTCTATCGTGATTTTTCAACCGTATTTATTTTTTTAAAATTTTATCTTTTTAACAATGTTAATACATATGCAAGTTACGAATTTAACCTCTTTAGGACAAAGGTCATATGTATCAAGTTTCACACACATTTCCAATTTTTATGCTTTTAATAAGATATTATTTTTTATTTCATTAGTCACTTTTTGCCACCTTCATTTTGCACCATTTCTATTGTAAAAGTACTTTTTTTTGTTGCAATTATAGTTATTTAACGTTTTTTTCCAGTTCACATTGTATTTAAAAATACATTGTTTTTTTACTCCTGAAGAGAAGCACATCTCAATCAACGTGTATTGACTTTATAGCAACAATATTTTTGTTGTATACTTTCACTGCTTCTTTAATGCAATTCTTTAAGCCATAGCAACTAAAGTTAAACATGCAATTTTTTTTTTTTAGTTGGGAAAAAATGAGAAAATATTTATTATGTAATTTTTTTTAAAAAAAATTTCAATAGCAGTAAATGAATGCAATAAACAGCTACAACAATAAATATATCCAAACAAATTTTTTTCCTTTAAGTTTTTCATTTTTAAGGTTATTCGGATGTTGCCTGAATATTAACAATGTTTTTAATGAAGTCACTATTTATCACTTTTTAAAAAAAATTTGTCACTTTTTTACTACTTTTTCTACTATGACCTGCGCTGAGCCCTGAGGAAAAATTTCCAAAATAAAGTAAATTAATTCCAAAAGATTTATTTTCCTTTTTTTTTTACTAAAAAAATGTTTTAAAATTCGCCCCCAATGCAATTTTTCTTACATCATTAGACAGCTAAAAGAAAATATTCTTTCCTTAAACTAGTTCTTAACACCTTTTGTTCATTATTTCTACTACTACACAGTCCTATCTCTCCAGGGGTTTGAGCTCCCCCCAATTATTTAAGCAAGCTGTCTTTAATTTTTAAAGATTCACCAGCCAGACATGCTAATTTTATGCATTTAACAGTTTCTTCACTTAAATTATGTTCTACTTAGTGGGTAGATTTCAGCACTAAGCTTTCTTACCACACTTAAGAGTCTTTGTTCAACAGGCAGAAGCAAATAATGTTGAATTGAATACAAAAACTTGTGATATAGTGAAATCATTGTTAAAGTGCAGTGAGCTTTTAGAAGCAAAATAAGTTTCTTTTTTTTTAAATTTCGGAGGCAACGGAAGTACAAGGTTTCTTAACAAGGCTGGTTAACCAATGACGCCCTTTTAGTATGAAGAAATGCATTTGATGCTTTGCGGTTTAATGAGGAGACTTGTTAATAATTGTGTTTTAGAGTTGAAGGATTTTGCAATGAAAGTTGATATCATACAGGTATGTAATATTTTACCAATCATTGACGTGGAAATGGGTTTTGCAGCAAGGTGCAGTCTTAATGAAAGTAAAGCATCAGATACCGTTTAGTCTAATTTTAAGAAAGAATGTCTTTCCAAAAGATGACTCTATAGTTAAAGGAAAGGTTTTAAGCTTGTTAGAGCTGCCTCTCTCTAACTATTAGATCTACTTCAAATTCATCCTGTATTAAGAAGATAGCTTTTAATAGTTTTGTTGATTGTGATCAAATGACAGCCGCTGATAAATCGAAATCAGAATTTTTTAAGTTTATTGAATCTCTTCAGTTTAAAAAGGAAATGTCTGAGTTCTTTAGATATTTTCTATTCTTCTTCATTGGCTGAATTCACAAGCTGCTTACGAGAAATATTTTGATTATGTCACATGGTAATGCTGCTGTAGAGCATTAATAAAACTTTGCTGATTGATAACATACAAGAAAAGTCAGTAATTACTTTACTAAAGAAAAGCTAAGAGCAAAAAGAAACTTTTTGAGAGAGAATCTGGAGAATCCTGAAAAAGAAGAGCTGTAAAGGAAATAAAACAACTGAGAGTGAAAAAAAAGAAAATACAAAATGAAGCAAAGAACAAAGAGCTGAACTTGATGTCTTAATTAAAGATCTAAGTCATTAATTTTATTTTTCTTTGTGATTTTAAAATATTCAGATTTTTTCTGCTTGTTTATATCAATACAATTACTATACTCCTGAAAATTAAAAGAACAGAAATATTGAAGAAAATAATTTGTAAAAATTATTTCAATAAAATTTGAACTTTTTTATTTTCCTATCTGTTATTAGATTTAAATCTTAACTGGTACATACCTGCCAACATTGGAGAAATAAAATAATGAAGATTTTACTAGCAACATTTTTTAGACTAATCAAGTCAAAAAGAGAAATTCTGAATTGGAAATAACATAATTTGGTGGGCTTAATTCTTACATTACTTTATTCTTACCTATATTTAGCGAAGTAAAAATTATGTATATAAATCTTAATCTTAAGAAGATTTTTTAAACCATTATTTATAATTACTTCAACTATTAACACTAAACGTACTGAAGTACTTGCATTAGTACCATCTGTTGAGGAATAAGAGAAGTATTTTTGCCATCATCAGCGTATATTGTATCGCCAAAAAAAAAATTTTTTTTTTAATTTATTCAACACATACGGAAAAATTTGAGAATATACGGGTAAACAGGAGATAGTTGTAAAATACAAGAGTTTTCGTTAAAAAACAGGAGACTTGACAGGTAAATTTGTGTCAATATTTTGCGTTTTTAATTAGTTTTTTTTTAAACAAATAGGTTCCAGCTTTATGTTTGAATGTGCATTTACTTATAATTTAAACTAAAAATACATTTTCACAGCATATAAATGCTCGACATTGCATTATCTTATGCAATAGCTTTCTTTTATATATAAAGCACTCATTCTTACATTTATCTGAAAAGAGGATATTTTTTCACTGAAAATACATTATTTTCTTAAAAATGTTCTGTCCAAAACATGGATGCATGCAATTACTTTAACTAGTATATATCATGACTATAATACCTTATGTATATAAAATTACTTTAGAATTGCACCATTAAAAAAATACTTTTTTGCTTTGGGTCTGGGAAGTTTGAAAATTGTTTTGAGTAGACCCCCTGTAAAATGAACATTTAAATTTAAGTTGGAAATTTTAAGAAATGTTACTTCATATACAATATGATAAAAAAAAATGAATTTTCTCTTCAAAAAGGCTGCTGACCAAATAAAAAAGCTGTACAACTTGTTTATCAAAGTAGATGCCACACAAATCGAAATTAATCCTTTTGGAGAAACTAAAAATAGGAAAGGTGAGTGTCATATCTTTTTTAATCTAATTCATCGTATTTCTCAATAGTTCCATTTCTCGCATCGTATTGCTATTTCTAGAAAAGTATAAAAATCTTATTTTCAACAATATTTATATATACACAGTGGAAAGTCCCATATCTGGAGTCGTCAGGACTTCAGCAAGTCCGGAAAATAAGTTTTTCTCCAGATAATTGGTCTTTAAGGCAGTGTTTTCAATACAGCTCGAGAGCGCGAGAATCTCGCATATTTTTTTCTTTTCACGCATTAAAAAATTATTTCCGCGAGAAATTCGCACATTCTATAAACCTATTTCAAAATTCGTGAATTTCTCGCATTTTGAAAAAAATTTCACATTTCGGCATTTAGAATAAAATCCGTTTCACTTTTCTTCCTGGATCTTTCATTATTTTCAACATCTGCCCCATTATCTAGCTTCCCTATTTACCATTATTGTTCAGAACCTTTAAGAACAACAGAACACCATCCTACCGAACCACGGAACCTCTTTCAGAACGCCTTTCTCTGCAACCACGTGTTTACCGTAGGTAAGGTTTCTCCATGTAAGAAGTTCAAATTTTTTGCGCATTAATGTACGATGGACAAATACCTTGTAAAGGCAATATCTTCTACTCCGAAACGGACAAATGAAAATGAAACAAATGTGGGTAGAAATGATCAAAACGAAACAAACACTCATTTGAGCAACCTAATGAGAATAGCTGATGAGAAAGTAGATGTAGAACATTTTCCATATAATGATGCAACAAAAATATTCCATGCTTTAAAAATTAGAAGATGTTAAAAATGTATTATAATTAAAGAAATAATCTTTTTTTCAAGTCTCTTCGTGTTTTTTTTTTTTTTTTTTTTTTTTTTTTTAATTTTTGAAATCTCACTTAACTTTTTGAAATCTCACCCTGTTTTTGAGAAAGGGGGAGAAATTCTCACCCATTTTTTTTTCTGCGATGAAAACACTGCTTTAGGGTAAACATCAAATATCGAAACATCCCTAATTCAATAAAAAATAACAAATAGACTATAATTAACGTCAATTTCAATAAATAACGAATAAATCCACATCATTGCGCTATTTTGAAAGATTTTGTTAGAAATTTCGATATGGTTTTCAAGATTTCGATCCAAATTCCGAATCGCACATTTCAGTTAGTAATCATTTCTCAATATACTCGATTATCAAAGATTCCACTATGAATCTGCATGGTTTTGCTTATCGTTTTTTTTTTTTTTGGTAGTTACTTGTCAAAAAAGAAAAACTTAATTATTTTTCTACTTCAATAGAACAGGTATCAATAAAAGGTTTCTTACCTGGTTCTTCTACCCGTGTCGGTTCGTACCCAAATAAGTCTTAAAAGAAAAAACCACATACTCAAGAAGAAATACTCTTTGGAACTAGTTAACAGGTGTATATTAACGAAACAACACTACAAAACACAACACGATCTCTTGTTCGCCAGTAACACCGAAGCTCTCAAAAAATTTTTGTTCTTAGAGAGAGTTATATATCCAGTGGTGCCCTCTAGTATGTCCTCTGGCAAGGAAAATGGTATTCTGTTTTGAACATACTAAAACGGATTTTCACTTCGTTTTTAACATCTCAATGTTTAAATGCGATATTTTGATCAGCAAACTTCAAATCGATCACTCAATTATTTACAATTCACTCGCAATGTCATGTGGATATACAGTTTCACTTTTGTCAGTTATTGTTAACGATTTTCATTCTTTTTTAATGCTACATTATCATGCACAGGAATCTCGCATTTGTAGAATTACTTTTTGAAGTCTACATAGTTTTGTCGATCGCCATTTCAACAGTTTGGAATTTTCACATAGTTTTTTAAATGTTGATTTCATTTTTAATGGAATATTTTCACGATCCTCAATTTCTAAATCTGGCTTTTAAGTGATCAATTAATGATCCATTTTAGTCGTGACTATTCAGTCTTAAATCGCAATTTTTTCAAAATGTTAAATCTTTGTGCACTCGGAAATTAAATGTGTGATTCTTTGCGATAACAATCTTTTTATGCGAGAAAATACATGATTTTTTTTTTCTCTCTCAAGTGTATTCCCGAATTTCATTTCAGTGATATCCTATTTTTTTTCAATTGTATTGAAATCAAACAAAATCGGAAGTTGGGTGAATTAATTCTGAAGCAGTACACTTACTTACAATTATTTTGAATGGTTGCAATGTTTAAAAGTAAACTGCAACCAAAATAAATAAGTAAGTAAAATTAAATAACCTAGAAAAAAATTTTGTATTTATTTACAAAAAAAAAGTAGAATTCCTGCTTTGTGTTGATTAATTTTTTTTCCATATAAATCTCTTAATTTTATATTTCATGCCTGTTTTTCTAAAATATTTACTAATATATTTCTATTTATTGTCATAGGATATTTTTAAAAAATGTGTATAAATACTTTTACTTTTTTGCCAGTTCTTTGTTTTGATGCGAAGTTGAACTTTGATGATAATGCTGAATTCCGACAGAAGAGTATCTTTGAGATGGATGACCACTCTGAGAGTGATCCACGTGAAGTAGATGCCTCCAAGTATCATCTGAATTACATAGGAATGGATGGCAATATTGCCTGTATGGGTAAGAATTACATCCCCCCCCCAATTTATTCTGAATTGTTGTCAATAGGTTTTTTGACACATTTAAATTGTTTCCTCATTAACTATGATTTAAACAGTATTGAAAAATATACTATGAGCATCGTATTGTCCAAAAGGCTAATTATATTGGTAGGTGGATAACTAAAGACGAAATTTTATGATTTAAAAAAAAAAAAATTTATTTGATAAATGAAATATGACAAAATCTTTTCCAATGTAGATGAGATGGTAGCCAAAATTCATTTAACAGCCTTTTTCTGTCCATCACAGTTAATTTAATATTTAATTTAAAATTAAATTTCATTGGCCATTTTTATTTATTGGAATGTCTTGTTCTTATAGCTTGAATTAAATCAAATGTTTTTGCCAAGCAGCACAAATTGTAGAGGATACTTTCATGCCAACTCCAAGAGGAAAACATGTCTTTTTTGGCTTGTTTTTCTATATAACTTATGATTCACTCTTGCTGTGCATTCAATCTATTTATCAATCATTTCTCCCGATCATCCTTGATGGTACTGACTTAGTGATGGCATTAAAGTTTGCATTATGGTGAGACATATTCTAGCCAGAAAAATATTAGCTCCTACTTAGGAAAATTAAAACTTTCCCTGAACATAGACTTTCTAGGTATTCTTCACTCACTTGTTATTCGAACCCACTAAAAAAAACCTTGAAATAACCCAAATAACACACCTAAAAAATTTTCAAAAAGAAATGCTTTTAAGCTACTGAAAAAAAAAAAGCAAGGATGAAATCACCAAGCCGATTAAGACTCTCTAGACGAACACAAGTCTCAAACCCCAGGTTGCAACAGGTATTACATCCCTAAGACCAAACTGTCTCTGACAAAACATCTACAATTACTCCACAGTAGCGAGGAACAGGCACACACAATTGGTCTCTTGGGATTTAATGTTTATGTTAGTGTTTCTTTTAACTATGGTTTCAGTTTAGTAATTTTTAAGTGCCGTTTTTATCTAATTTGATTAATAAGTTTTTCTTGTATTTTATATATTTTTATTAAAACTTATAATTAGGTATGATATATATTGCGTTTTTTAATATTTAATTTTATTTTATATTAGTTTGGCTTTATTTAGTTTTGAGGAGGAGGAACCCTCTCATATTAAGTTGAAGACAACTATGACAAAAATCAGTGTCCAAATTCAAGTAGTTTATTAAATTTAGGCGTAACTTGATTAATTAAATAACTTTAATTAGCTTATTGATTTGCTAGTTACTTTTAGTGTTGGTTTTTTATTAATTTCGTTGTTTTGCCATCGTAATTTATATATTTTTTTAATCTATTTATCCATCTTATTTATAATCAGTTTTTATAAATAGAAAATCTTGACTCATTGCTTTTTTTTAGTTTTTCCATTTTTTTCTTCTTCTGTTCTTACAAACGTTTGAATTAAATAAAATTCAATTTCGATTCAATTCATTTTATAGTGTAGTATTGTTATTAAATTCAATTTTTTCAGGATCACTTAGTTTTTGAAAAGTTATTCTTTTATTCATTTTTTTTTTTGCTTGTCTGTTGATTTGTTAGTTACTTTTTTTGGATGGTTTGATATTTAGTGTTACAATATGTTTTTTATATAAGTACCTTTCAATTAAAATTTACAATTTTATTAACCTATAATTAAAATTTTAATCCATGCTATTGTATTGATTATTTTAATTGTTCATTGTGTTTTAGTTTTCAAAAATGTTCTTACATTAATTACGATTTAACTTAGATTTTAGACAGATTTAGATTTAGATGTATTTTTTATTATTTTTTGCAACTACTTAGTAGCTATAAAAACTACTTTCGTAGCTTCGTAAATGCTGCTACTGAATTCAAGTATAAAAATCCCTAAAAGTTTTATTTAAAATAATTAGAAGTATGAATTTTATTATAGAGCTTTCTTTTTGTCAATATTTTTTTCGTAGTAGATACTTAAGAATTCAATTTTCAACAATAAAACTTTAAAAAAACAGTTTATTTTATTTGTTTATAAGGGAAAGCTAGATACATTATAAGTTAATTTTCAAGATTTATTTTTATTTTTTATCTCTAAATAGTTATTTTTATCAGCAAAAAAAAGAAAGATATGTTTATAAATTTCAAATGTTTTTCCATGTTTCTCATAGATAAGTTCAAAACTTTAAATATATTTGAAGTAAACTAAGAAATATTGAGAAAAAGGAAAAAAAAATGTAAATTTAACATGTTGCCTTCTTTTATTTTATAACCATCGTTGAATAGCCAACCCAATTTTGGATTTACGACTACTAATGTTCAACTCTGCAGCCATGTCATTTTGAACCAATCCAGAAGACTAAGAAACTCTTGGATCAATACTCACAGAGGTATGATTGGTAATGGGAACTTGGAAGACTTAGTAACTCACCAGATTTAATGTGCATCAGTCTCCATTTACCTCATCTGGCGGGAATCGAACCCGCGACCTCTTCTACATGGGCCCAGTACATTACCAACCAGGCTATCCCGGCCCTGTTGTCTTTTTTTTTTTAGAAAAATTGTAGTTATGTGTTTAATAATAATAAATATGATTAAATATAAAAGTAAACTTATACATAATTATTCATTTAAATTATGCTGCGTATAATTCATTTAGAATTTCATGTTTTGAAAATATCAATGATTTCAATTTACAAATACATAAACTTTTTGAAATGCGTCAATAATGATTTTATTCAAGAAATTTTAAGAATTTTTGAGTTAGGCTCACAATTACTCCAGCCTATTTTCAAGTTATTTTATCCTTGAGGATTTGTTTTTAAGGTTACTGTAGAAAAAACATTTTCAGAAGCGTCATTTGAATTTAGTGAATGAAGAAATTCATTCTCTGTATTATATATTAGGAGTGTGCATAAATAGAATCTTTATTTGTATTTTCTTTTGTAGTGAATGGAGCAGGCCTTGCCATGGCAACCATGGACATCATCCACATGTATGGGGGACATCCTGCTAATTTTCTAGATGTGGGTGGTTCAGTCAAAGAGGATCAAGTATTGCAGGCATTCAGGATACTCACCTCAGATGAAAAAGTAATTTCATCTTTTGAATTAAAATAATACAATGTTCAATACTTGCATGCAAAAATTGATGTATTTAGACAAAAATTATAATACATTCTTCATTAAAAAAATTATTCTCTGTGATTATTGCCGATTATGGATAAAATTTAGCAAGTAACTTTTTTTGTAAAAAATGATGAATTGAATGAGTTAATAGAATTACTTTTTCATATTTTTAGTTTAGAATATATTTAAATATTCATAAGTTGAGTAAAAAAATTTAATCTCATACCAAGACATTAAAATTTAAAAAAATCTTGCTAAATTGTTAAAATAAATCTTATTTAAATATTTGTTTTTAAAATTATATATTAGCAAAAAATACATTTTAAATGAAATATTTTAGAATATTGACACTTTTCTTGGTGGCTTAGTTATATATCCTACTCATTTAGAGGGGAGAAAACACTCTAACCTAAAAAAATCAGGGAAATTTAAAACTTGATTTGAGTAGTCATCCTGAAAATTATTCTAGACTATGCTCACCTTGTGTTTCCTTTAAAGTTTGGTTCTTTTTTTGCAGGTGAAGGCTGTTTTAGTTAATATATTTGGTGGAATCGTGGACTGTGCCATCATTGCTCGGGGAATCACCAATGCCTGTAGAAATATTCAACTGAAAGTGCCCCTGGTTGTCCGCCTTGAAGGTATCTGTCATTACTCTATACTAAAAACTATTATATCTATTTCCAGAGCCTTAATGCATATTTTTATTTAATTAAATTTTTTTTTAAAAAAATTACTCTTTTATGTACATAAAAAGCAATAATAATATGTAAAAAGCAAACGCTTATATACAATAATAAGTTTCCCAGAAACTCTAGCTGATTAAATGAAAGAACATCTCAGCTGTTTCAAGCAATCTCATCTGTTCAAGTATTTTTAATTAACAATAAATAAATTATACTAAAAAACAAAAATACACTGATTAACGAAAACAAAACATTGTCCAAATACTTTCCCAATACCATAAATTATGGCTACTTCATAATTGATCTAAGCTGAAATATCTTGACTTGCCAAATTTTAATTTTTTAAGACCTAAAAATAAGCATTGTTATAATTTTTATGTAAAAAAATTTTTTTTTAATGTGTAAATATAAAATTAACCCTTTGCTTGCAGCTGGTACAGCATATGCAGACCTGCCAACTTGTACGGTTTCACCATACAGTGTACAGTATTTCACTCGATCGTATGGTTGTGCGAACAAGATTTAAAATCGTACGGTTTTATATTCATTTATAGTTCTTAAGTTGTTGTTTTTTTTAAGAAGAAAAAAAAATTTAATTAACAGCATGCTTCTTAAAATCATGAAACGAAAGGTTTACAAGATTTTAAATACCAGTTATGAAACTCATCAAAAAAAAAAAAAAAATGTGTCCCTGACAAGTTGTAATCTGGTTGGTTTTGAGAGCCAATCACGTGACACTACAACAATCGTAAAGCAATGAGCCGGTGGGAACTCTGATGTAGGAAATCACATGACCGGTAATCACGGGCTAGATTAAGAGCGCTTTTTGGCAACGGTAATGGTTTTATTTACCATTTGTTGCGCATGGATTGCAGCATGATTTTGTTTTAAAATTTGTAATAATGCCAACTAAAGTTTACGATCAGATATTTTTAGAATTTTATTTTAAAAGCTTTCCTTGCATAATTAAGTCCAAGAAATTGCAGCACTATGCCTTTTGTAATGTTTGCGAACTAGATTTTAAAATAGCACATGGCGGTAAAAGCGATATAAATGATCATATACGCACGAAGAGACATAAGGATTTTAGAGGAATGTGTTAATAAAAATGAAAGTATTAGTAAATATTTTGCGCCTGGAAGTGATGACGATGTAATACAGGACGCATTTCATTTTACGTCGTTCATTGTAGAGGACATTCTAATTGCCATAACCACGCAAACTGGATGTTGCTATGAGCAGACCTTCGGTAAAGGATTTTTAAAAGCAGCTAAGTCTGCTACATATGAACATTTAAAGCAATAATTGTTTTTAATTAAGTCTAACGTGTATTTAATTTTTTCCTTTTTGTATTAATCTAGAAATTGAATTTTGAAATTGTGATTAAGTGTAAATATGTTTTAAAACAACTGTATAATAAAATAGTCAAGATTTAAAAAAAGTTTTTCGTTACTGTTTTCACAATGAAATTTTTTTTTTTAAATTTGTTCAAAATTGACAAGTGTATTTAGTCACAGATCTTAGTTTTGTCTAAAAAGGTCCTCTAATAACACTTTCTATGTCGAGTAAAACACTAGCTCAGAATTGTAAGGTCATGCAAATTACAATGTTGGCAGGTCTGGTACTGGTAAAAAAAACTCCTCTCATTGCGGCGCTGGATCAGCAGTTGTACCAGTAGTTCTCTTCTCCCTTTTCTCCTAGACCTCCATTGCACCTGTCATTTCTTCAGGAACCCCATATAATTTTGGCCTGATGTTAAAATAAAAAAAAAAGGATTTAACGCTGCTCGCTTTCGATTCAAATTGGCTGAAAGATTTTTCTCTTTGATTATTAGTTGGTGAGTTTTAAGGAATAAGAATGTCTTTCTTTTTCTTTGTAGTATTAATTACATTACATTCGAGATCTTTTCAGCAATGATCTTTAGCGAATCCTAGTTTATTTTTTTTCGGTTAATTTACTTGTTAGTTACGTTTTTGTTAGTTTTTTTAATCTTTTGATAATGTTTTAATGAAATTTTTATTTATTTTTTAATTTGTTGCTTCCGGTTAGTATTGTATTATTCTTTTTTCATTGAAAGAATTTTTCACATTTTAAGATGTCACGTAGAGTGAGACCACTCACTCAAGAAGAAATCGATAAGTTAATGTATGATTTCGATGTTGAAACCTACTCGGGTTCTGAATCTGAGTGTAAGGTGGAAGAAGAAAAGAATCAAATTCATGAAATTGATAGTGATAATGAATTTTTAATATTTTTAAATACTCAGCTAATCTCAAATGTATTACTTCAAAGTTACAAAAATAAAGTTTATTAAAAAGGTATTGCTTTCATGTTACAAATTCAGATGATCATATACAATCGAAATCAGTCTGTAATTTTTACGCATTAATTAGAAAGAAAAAGATGTACAAATTATATATTTAGTTTAGCTGAATTTTTTAGAAGTTCTATAAATATTTATTCTCTCTTCATATTTACACTCAGTTTTTTAATTTTATAAAAACAGTTGTTTAAGAATCATGGAAAAAGTTAAAATTTGTTTTAGGGGAAATTTCACATTGCATAATTTACCCTTCTATGTCCGGTAAAACAAATAAATAAATCACAGAATGAAAGTATCGAATGCTAACGGATAAGACATTGCTCGAGAAATAAACAGTATTAAATTTTAACTAAATAATTTAAAGTAAAATCGTTAATTATTACGTATGTGATCAATAAAATATTTGGTATTGTGAGCTAAAAATTACTTTATAGTATTGAAAAATTCCATAGTTTAATATTTCAAAATATTTTTTAATATTTTATACATTTGTTTTAAAAATTTAGTAACATAATTAAAAACTTATAACAATTTAAACTTTATTTTTCTAAAAATTTTAAGGTCTAAAATAATTTATGTTGCCCCTTTCTAATATAGTTATCTTCTAAGATTTTAAATTATGTTAATATTAAAAAATCAAAAAATCATAATTATATTATTAAAACAGAATATTGTTCTCTTTTTTTTTACTATAAGTGATATGCAGTTTCCTAGTGTTGAAGGGAAAATTTAATTAAACTTTTCAAACTCTAAATCTAACGTGCACAAAAAGATGGAAGTATACGTAAATTTCTTCATTGGTAATTATATTGAACAAAACTTTTGAAACCGTGAAACAAATTTTCTTTTATGTGAAAAAAAAATAGCAATTATATTATTAATTTATTATTCCGAAAATAAAAAGTACTGTTGAAAGCTAAAATTTTTTAAAAATATTTGTGGAAAGAGGAGAGAGCATCTATCAGAAGGTTTTGAATGCTTGACCCTGAACAGGAAGTTTAGTCACAATGAAACAATTTCCACTTTTCAAATATTCAATCATGATAAAATACTGATCTTTTTTAGAAAGGTATCATTCCTGCCTCTTGCTTCAAGTTCTCAGAGACAAATTTTTCTTTCAAGTTCCAACGAAATGTTCCCATTGAGAGCTTTAGCATTTGTCATATTGTAATTAAGCATAAAATAAATTGTTATTCCTTCTCTAAAGATAACGGATACGGAAATATCCCCGCCTCTTCCACAGCAGGCAAAGTGACATTTCCTGGTTTTTGTTGTGTTATCAGTCAGAATATGTTTTCGGTGGTCCTCTTATTTATTATATATTTTGGTTTCTGTCATTTTTAAAATTCTTAATAATGGTTATTCCAAACACCTGAAGAAAGACCATACCGTGACCAAAGGAAATGTATGTTTTACAATCATTATCTCAATAGAACTTGTATAGATGTGTCTGATAACAATTGATGACTTAAAAAATTTCATATACATATGGCAATCGTGAAATACTTCAAATCAGCAGTTACTTTTTTTTTGTTTTGTTTAAAACATTTCCTGCTTCTAACAAAAATTAAAATAAATAAGAAATTAAGAATATTCTTTTTTGAATTATAAAAAAATAAGGAAAGTATTAAGGTAGCCTATCAGTTTAAAATTTCACTGATAACTAATATTATTACTTATTATCATTTTCTATTTATTATTTTATAAAATTAACTAATATTTCAAAACAAAATTTTAAAATGAAATGGGATTTTTGTTCTTTCTATATGGGGCTCAAATATAAGCTAAATAGAAACGTGGCAAATTATTTTATTGTGTAATATATTTGTTGTAAACAAGATAAACAATAGTAATTTTTCTTCTTTGAACATATTTAAAACAAATTCTTTAATATTTTCAGTGTTTTAAACAATATTTTTTTATAATTCTAATAATGTTTATATAAAATATTCTCGTGAAATCTTAATGAATTTCTATTGAATATACGTGTGTAAAATTTATGCATTATGAAATGCAGGCAAAAGGTACTCGGAAATTTTTTAATTTAAAGAATGTTTATATTTCAATTTTGCGTAAATGTAATGGACGAGACTCTACATTTGCTATATTTTTAACAGATAAAATAATCTTCAAAAATGTAAAACAGTTACAACGTTCATCGTTAGAAGTTTAAAAAATTTGCCTTTTAAAATTATTTATTATTATTAATGTGTTTATAATAATAAATACTTTTAAGATGAGAATAAAACTTAAAAAAATGTCCTATTAGAAAAAAAATAAAAGTTTCGTTTGTAACAGTTTATTAAAAAAATTTCTGATACAATAAAATACATGTTTCATTCTTAAATAAATTTTAAATGAATGCTTGCTTTGCATAAGAGAAAATATCATTTTATTATATTAAATTAATTATAAGTTATATTTTAACTTTTTCTCATAATGTGTTAAACATCACTAAAAAATGCCAACGTATGCATAACTATGCCAAAATATCCACCCATAACGATGCACACTACAACCCTGCAACTTCTTCCTTCAAGAAATGTGGCATACAAATTACAACAAAAGAATTTCTGCAAAAATGCGCCGTAACCACAATAAAAAAATTTTCACCTGACTAGCCGCAACTAAAAGGTTAAATGTTTTAGATATTTCATGTGGACAAAGTAACACCAAAATAAGAAATAGTTTATTATTTAAATAATTCTATATACCAGATTTTCTCCCAAGGAAAAATAGCACATTAAAATGATATTTTATTAAGTTTAAAAAACCTCAGTTGTAAATGTTTAAAATTTAAATGTCTTATTTAAAATCTTTCTTTAAAATCTTTCTTTATAAAGCATATTTTTAAACTGTCAATGTTTAAAACGAAATGAATTTACTAATGCAAGGTTGCTGAATTTTTACGCAGTTTGTGAAATTTTTTTTTCTGGTGGTAGCTAAGTATATGAAAATGTATGATTCTTTGTTTTGTAAATTTGATTTAAGAGTTATTTTTCACACCCTTACATTTAAACGAAGTTCTTATGAAGCTAAATGTATAATCTCTAAGACAGGGTTTAAGCTGAGTCTAAAAATTCATTAGCAAAAAAGCTAAAATCTGAAAAAAAGTTTTAGCAAAATGCTAAAATGCCATTAGGCTTATAAAATTACTTTATATCAAACAAGTACTGTAAGTTATCTGACAAAGAATATAGCTTAATGTACAAGAATATCAAAAAGAATACCTATAACAAAAAAAAACACATTTATTATTTATCAAAACATTTTGGTTTATAATTAACAATCTTCCTTTCTTTCATGTTTGCCCATTTTACAAATGCTTCTTGAAAGTTAAATGCATTTTCAGGACCCTCAATATTAATCTTCTACTAAGCTTTTTTTTAATGGAATTTAGTAAAATCCTTTAGCAAAAATGCGAAAATGCTTTGTTGAATTTTAGCATTTTTGAGGGGTCTTTTCGCATTTTGCGAAAAAAGCTACCGTAGCGGAAACCCTGCTCTAAGAGCTGAAGGAGAAAAATAAAAACTTTAAATAAAGATGTAAATAAAAGTCAACATGTTTAGAGTGCTAGAAAATTAATTACACGAGTTCTTCACGTCTAGCGTGTCTTGAAATCGGCAATGTAAGCATCCATTTTCCAAAACTCGTCAGATGTAAATGAGGAAAGTAAAAGTGATTTGAAACTAAAAATGTATGGTTGTAACAAAAAAAAGGAAAACAAAAGTGGGAAATAAAACTTAGAAAAACCATAGTAACAGAGAATGAATATCTTGCCAGTGCAACCTAGGCTTTAAAATTTAGCCTAAAGGAACACCATGGTTTACCCCTTCCTTCTCGCTCCCGTGAAAATGATGGGGTGAAGTTATATATATATTATATAGGTTATAATATATTTATTCTTCATACACATATTTTTATATAATTTTCAGGGATAAAAAAATAGGCACTTTTATGACCGTTTTCTTGAAAAATAACCGATCGTTAAGGGGTTAAGTCCATTTTCAAGAATGCTATAAATCATCATTGCTGCAAAATCTTGGATATATATTCAATTCGATAATGCCAAAATTCTAACCACTTCTGTCACATCAGTTGATCTTGATGCTCGATAATCGTGTTTTATTCATATGAATGCTGATTCCTTTGTTAATGACATGAGTTCCTAAACATTTCTATAACATGTGAAAATGCATTTTGCTCTAATTTGCCTCTCTAGGCCACTGTAGTTTTTCTAGTTTTTTTTTGTCTTAATTTAATATTTTATTCTCTATTTCACTTTAAGGAATTGCAGTTTTTCCAGTTTTATTTTTCATTAGAAACTTCACTTTCTCTGTTTCAAATCACTTTTGTTTTCTTCATTCACACCTGGCAAGTCTTTAGAAAGAGCGTTTATTTTTGTGTGCTTGAAACATATTAACTTTTATTGCTATCTTCATATTTTTTAAAGCCAATGAAATTTTTACCATCAAGTATACAGTGTTACATTTAGGTCTTGATCAGAATCTTATACTCTTAGAAGCAAACATCTGGATGATATTATTTTAACAGAATTCAAGCGGTTCTCAAAACAGTAAGACAATTGTGGCATCCAATCTGTATTAAGTTATCTTTAACTTCATAATTAAGATTTCGTAACCAGATTTGGAGTTATGGAAATCTATTATTGAATGTTGTAGTGAATATAAACATAATTAAATACATTTATCTTCTTAGTTTTGCTACCAACATTATAGTTTCTTAAGAACCTTACAAACTGTTTAAAAGGAGACTATTGTATCAGATATGTGTATGTAGCGGTAGTAAGAATCATAAGGTAAGTTTGTAATAAAACAAAACTGAATTAAACAAATAAGTTATAGTAGCAATATTTGGTGATAACTGATCGTAACTGAAGAAAATGTTGAGTGTCATTTTATGACGAATTTACAAAAATCCGTTTCAGAATGTATAGAAACATCAGGATTCTATTTTAAATTATTCTTTATTCAAATAAAGCCTCATAACTCCCACATTGATTCAAACTCTAAAATCTTGGAAAGTAATAAATAATTTATTAATCGATTCAAATTTTATTATCAAAGGAGATGAAAACAAAAACAATCTTTGCTTTTTGGGCGGAAATCAGCCAAAAAAAATTTTGCCTAGAGATATTTTTCTATTAACAAAAAAAAGAAAAAAAACCCTTCCTGAGCTAACACAAAAGGATGAATTAAAAGGCTTGTTTTTATTTCATTCCTTTTTTACTGTCTCAACTTGGTTGCTTAGCATCAAGGAAACACTAAGTATTTCTCTCTTGTGGATCACATGGTCTTAAATTAATCTTCCTGCTATGGTACTACTTTTAATATATATAGCTTCCTACAACCTTAATTTCTGATCCAATTTTTTGTAAACTCTTTTTGAGGGTCAGGCATCCAAATATGTAAAAAAAATATATAGATATGTGTGTGTTTAATTAATAATTAGCACCAATTATTTACCCCCTGCTACCATTTAGATTATTTAAACAAAAGTAACTCTGATTTTTTTTGCACTTTGTGTCTAAGCTGAATAAACAGAATAGAAAACTAAAAAAATTATTTTTTAAAGTATGCCTAGTTTTGATCAGAATTCTGAAATAAATGCTTCATTGATGTATATTTATTTTGGCAAAATTTTAAAATGTTTTATGCTATCATTACATAATATCAATTGATTCTTTATTTGTTGTATTTGAAGGCACTAATGTGGGTGAAGCTAAAAGTATTTTAGCTAACAGTGGATTGCCAATCATAACTGCATCAGATTTAGATGACGCTGCCAAGAAAGCTGTGGCTAGTCTTAACTAACTAGTTTTTCAAGCCAAAAACTGCCAGATTTGTTTCTTCAGGGACTGTGAATGAGCTTCATTTGTTATGAGAATAGGTTATGAGCATTCCTATAAGATACAGTATGTTTTTTTCAAAACCTGTATTTTAAGAAATGAAAAATATGCCCACAGTAATCATGTTAAAGTGCAATTAAATATATTTTTGGTATAGACTAAAAAGAAAGTAATCAAGTATTTTATTAGTACTTATATTGAGTATAATTTTTGAACATAATATTCTATATTGAAGTGAGTAAATCATTTAAATGAATGTTAATTGTTGCACCACTGAAGAGTTTATTATATTTAAAAAATAATTATTAAATTTGTCTTAATTATTTTTCAGTGAATTCTCACAAAATAGTTCAGGTTTCAAATAAACTTATAGTAATTAATTGCAGAAATTTGATTACTTTGTACAAGTTAGATGATTTATTTGTTCATTTTAGTTTCATGAAATTCTGTTCCCAACGAATATGTACTTATTTTTAGTTGTCATTCCAAGCTCTGCATTTTATCCAATTGCATTGTGTATTGTAAAAGTTATTTAAATTAGTCTAACATCAAAACGCTATCCTACTAATAAAAATTTGAATGGATTTTAACAGAGACAGAATTATAAGTATCACCATCAATAAAATTATTCTTGAAACATACAGAACTCACCTAGTCATTTATCAAATTTTTTGTTACAATCTTTACAACATTGATCTAGTATTTAAATTTCTTTAATGAAAATAGAAATTTCTGTTTGTTTAATTGGCTTATGTGTAGAAATGTTATTAAAAATAGTTAATCAATGTTTCGGTTCATTCAATTTTTTTTACAATTTTATATTTTGCATATCATAAATAATAATCAACCAATTTCGAACTGATTAAAATGTTGCAAGTTGTTCAAAAGTATATTTTTATGTTTGAGATTTTAGCCTTTTGTAATTAATAAAAATATTTCTAATAAAGTGTTTTATTTGCATAAAGTAGTTTCTGAGCAATTCTACGGTTTTTAGGACATTAGTGTCATAAAAATACTAAGAAAATCTGTCTTTTTTTAAAAAAAAAAGAGCTTCAAATATGTAATTTCACCATTTTACAGTGACAGAAAGTACACGGTATTAAAGATGCTCAACTGAAATGCCATTTTGATTTTCCTATCTTATGATTATAAATCTCAATACATAAAATAATAATTTGGAAGTAAATTCAGGACTTGGATCCTTCCACAATAATTTTCAATATATTTTTCAGTGTGATAATTATTTTACCACAACAAAGCATTTCAAATTTAATTTTTTCTTTCATAAATATGTAAAATATATTAGCTTGATATACTATTTTAACAATAAGTAAAGAATAAAAAATATCACAGATTAAAGCGCAATGGCAGCAAATGCTAAAAATCAGTCCTTTGCTACATTGTGTTAAGTTTTTAATCTCAAATAAATTGTAAATTTTTGCGATTAATTGCCATCAACATACCTGGAAATGTAGACCTTCATTCAGAGAGGTTGTTTACCCTACTTTATGAATTTCAATAAGATATTTTTATAAAATATTTTTTAATTCATACACACACTTCACAAAACTTTGAATACAGTTATTTCCTCGCATTATCAGCAATTGTTCATTCCTTATTAATTAAATCGAAATATATAAGTTAAAATAAAAAAAATACTTGTAATTCCCAAATGTCTCTTCATAGTATTCTTGTCTCATATTATAACTTACAAAAATAGTTGTGTGAAGTCTTAAGTAGGGTGAATTTATAATTCTATGTATTCCACTGAGTGTTAAGTTTGGAATCAGCCCTTGATGTTTCTAAATGTTTTCACAACTCTTGAATCTTTTTAAACCTAACTAGAATGGATGAAACAGTTGCAGATTTTATATCTGATATTAAAAGCTAGAATTTTATTATAGGCACTTGAGCATTTAACCAAGAAGTAATTATGAGGAATTTCTTCAATTAGTTATTGCATTTCTTTGGATTCCACAAAGTGTAAGATTTTTGGCACCAGAGGCTGTTCTTTATACAGTAAAACCTCGCAACAACAATATTTTGGGTCCAAATTAATATATTACATCGAGGGCCTACATACTTTAGAGACACGAAAAGATTTATTTTAATGTTGTATATGTACTAACTACACTGGTGTGCAAAACTTAAGCAACAGGTGCGTTTTTTGTCATAACTATACAAGAAATCATCCGATTGACATGAAATTTGAATATGATGTACATTATTTTGTACTTAAACGATGGTAAAAGAATAATGGCGCAGAAATGAATATAAAGCTTAAAGTAGGGTATGGAACAAAAAGAGGCTTCATTTGACATATAGTGGCGTTACACATGATTGCCAGAAGAAGCGTAAGTACAACTGGCAGATGTTCCCTAGTATGGGATATGCCCTCCCCTTACTGTAATTGTTGCTTGGCATCGTCTCTCCATGCTAAGCACCAGATTATCCAGGAGTTCTTGGGGTAAACGTCTCCATTCCTCCTTT